ATGTGTTCTTGACGTGGGCACCACTGAAGCCAACAAAAAATGACTTCTTGTCTCTACAAGGCTTATCGTTGCTGGGCTACACTCGCGAGGTGGCGTGGCCATTTAAAATACAGTAGCTCTGTCGTTCCCCACTGTCGAGTGCCGTGCCGTCGCGTGTCCAGCGCCTCGCTCAGCCCGAGTTTCATCTATTGCCCATATTACCCGCTTTTAGAACTTCTCAGTGAGATAACGAATCATGACCGCTCCCGACTCTCCACAGAATCATAGTGGCGGATCTCTATGAATTTCTGAAAACTCACTTATATCCAGTATAGAAAGTTGGTCGCTGGATTCGTAGCCAACCGTCCACCTTTCCTTTTGAGTAGACAGTCGAGAACGGGATTTCCACCCAACCGATCAGGCGACGAACCAATTGCTCGTGTACGGTGTTCACCAAGCGATCGTCCTTATCCAAACTGTTCACAATCTGGAAACGATTAGAAATCAATGTATTGATCGGGAAATCATCCTTACCCCGGTTGTTAAGGAGTTTTGAGAACGCAAAAATTAATATTTACATCTCTTCGAAAACGCACTAGAACTGAACTCAACCTTCTGCAAAATCAACGAACTGATTTCCAGGGGTTGTGTGAATCGAATTTTTTGGATACGGTAGGCGCGAAATGTTCGCGGGAGTTGTGGGGACTGCTATGACGTCACGAGACGCTGTGGCAATCGATAATCACTATCCCTCGGTTGTTTTTCTACCTTTGATGATATTTACCTAATTGGATCATTGGAATATTTGCTATCGAATGATAGACTAACCATAAGCTCTTGGGTAGGGGAACACTCTCTTCCTAGGGCTTAGTCTACCGACCGACAGTGCATATTCTAACGATTGAGATATTGTCTATCGATCCCACAGAGTTCCGACGTCATAGCGCTCCCACGTACCATCTGTTTCAGCAAAGCAGAAACGTGTCGAGTGCAGACCACACAAGTGACGACGGTCTCGATTAATTGGACCTAGAATCGACCGTGGATTTATAGTTGGGAAAATGAAAGTAAGGTGACTGTGTTTAAATAACTGCAACAGCAATCAATTCATGACGCATTGTCGTTTGTCTGCACCTCCGCGGTGTGCTTGCTTAAATAGTAGGAATACTCGTTCGTGCATCCTTGTTCAACAATCGTTTACACCTACCACATAGCACCCCACTTGTGTTCAAAACTGCAAAATGCGTTCACCTTAAAACCTTTCCAGGCCGAAGGATTACGAATACAACGAAAAATATTTGTTACTACCTGACAAGACATCAAGTTAAACCCCATTTTGTGACTCATTCCGCGAAATCAATTGAAGTCTTCAATGAATCAGCGTTTTGCCTATTCAATAGACTGACTAGCTGACTCATGTCCGCGAATTTACGTAATCGATGACGCTTGTTTGAATAGGCGGATGGGCACGCCCACTCAGCGATTTTTTCTTCGATAAATAGGCCTTTGATCGGCGTTTGAGCAGCGTCTCGCTTCACACTATCAGCATGTCTTATCAGGTAGGCCATCTGGTTCCTTTGTCATCCAAGCCTCATGCCATTTTCCGCCTATGAAATCTGTTTTCAGGGTTATCCCGGTGGCGGTTATTCGCCCTACGGCCAATATCCTCACGCTGCACCATACGGCTATGGACAGCCTCCTATGCATATGGCTCCTCCAGTGAGTGTCATCCTTAACCCCAACTTTTTAATTTTAGCTGCGCTACTACTTCATATTTTGGTGCGTTACCCTAGGTTTATAGTGAGCTAGGCTGCCATGATGTGAATGCATATTGATTAGTCGCTCGAACAGAGACATTTAGCAGCACCTATAAACTGCCAAATCAATTTATATGTATTAGTCTAATAACGATGAATCACTATTCAAGAGCTCTCCCATATCGGGCAAGGAGTGATAACTCGCAGCGCAGGCAAGACCTAACCCTTCAGCGCAAAAGCCAAACCTGGCGCTATTTTCACCCCTCGCTTCAGCGGATATCCCAAAACGTAACTTTTTACTCGGAACTTTATAAAACTATTTTAGGCGCTGAAAGATGCGGGGGCATCCTCTTATGCTAAGCCTAGGAGGGGCGGAAACACCGGGGAACATGGGAATGCTCACACATTCTAGGGAGATAAGCCGTTTAGACAGAGTGAGCACCCGAAGTAAGCGTAAATTACGATGTTTCTACCGTAGTCACGTGCAATGACGCGCTTTCTGGAGTAACAGTCCTACGGATTTTGCAAACATCACTCTGTCTAAACGGCTTGAGTCTATTCTGGGGTCTCTCCTCCAATGTCTTGAATTTAGCCCCGTTCCAAACCTAAAGGTTATATTCAATGCGGTTCCAAATGCACTATCACAACACTGCCCCCGTATCTTACGATAGCACCCTGTTTAGAAGAGCTGTCTTTTTCAGGTGATCATCCAGGAAGGTCATCATCATCACGATCCTCATCATCATGAGCATCACCACGACCATTACGAGCATCACCACGGTCATCACGGTCATCACGGTCATTACGAACATCATCACCATCATCATGGACATCATCACGGCTACTAATGGCACTCAGCTCAAAAAGATAATGATGCCTCACTGGAATTCATTCCATTGTACCATACAAGGGTTATCTCTTTTGAATGAATTGTATTTAATACTGTGTATGATATAAAAGTCTTTATGTATTAGAAAGGCTTTATGTAAATAAAAACTTGTTCCAAAAGATCCAATCAATATTGTGGGGTTCCCTTCATCACTAGGTGAATCTTACTTTAAAGAATCCTCAGAAAAAATCGTGAATCTATCTCGCCCATAATTCTCTGGCTTAGGACCCATCGCTCCATGATTAGAACTGGAAAGAATGAAAAAAAAAATGCATTTGTTTTGGTAAAAAATTCGAAAAATCGAAAGGGCTGCTACGCGTTCAAAGTGCCACGGAAGTCTTTCACAAATGCTGGCGACGGGGATGCTTCCACTTGGTTCTTGGAGTGGCGTTTAGGTCTTATTCTAGAGAGGTACACATACTGTGGACGGGAGGCGGTCATATAGCGCGATTCTCTGGCATCAGAGCGCAAATCCCCTATCCTGTTGTGGCCGAACAACTCGTCCGTCACTTCAGAATACTATAATTCAACAGTTGATCGATCTGGTAAGTTGGGTCTCAGAAATCACGACGACCTTTCAAAAAGCGGATAGCTTCTATTGGCCTGACGCCAAGGCAAGGGAGTGTGATGAAATGAGGTGCGCGGACGGAGTTGTCCGGC